TAACTGTATCCTTTGTTGCAGGATAACAGTGAACAATTTAATCTCTGTAAGCTTCAGTTTTCTTATATGTAAAACATGAATAATAGTAATAATAATAACTAAGATATTTTAGGAAAGTTAATTGAAATGATACATTTCATACACTAAGCATTTGCCTGGTATACAGACACATGCTCACACATGTAACTATTAAGCACTTTTGAGAAAGTCTAAGATGGGGTGATATTATTAGAATCTGCTCATAGACTTGAGTTCAGAATATGCACTCATTGTCTCAATTTACCATGATGCCATGGTTTAGAAAAATTTCGAAAACATATCACCTCTTCCCCCCTCCCCCCACGTTACCATTGCAACAGAGGGAACTAGAAAGCAATAGAATTATGTACTAAATCACTGGGTTTGTCAACATTGTACAGCGTTATCCTCCTCTAATTTAGCTATTGATTTGGAAAAGCTATTTCACCTGCCAGAATGCGTGAGCGATGGTGAAGATGTTCAGATCACAGAAATGTATCCTATGTTAAATGTAGCTAATTAAACTTCATGCTATAAACTCTCATCATAGCCTTGTACTGTCTCTTTCATAACATGCATCACCCTTGACATTATGTACTTAGTTTTGCTTGCCACACTAAACTCCAATTTCAGTACCAGCAGGCACTATGCCTTTCTTGGTGGTAACAATACCTCAACACCCAAAGTACTGTCTAATGCCCAATAAGATTTCTATAAATATTTGTGATACTGAGAGCCATACTGTACATAAAACTCATGTTTCCTTCTAGCCAACTGTACCTTCAGGTACATTTTTATATGCTTGATACATGGGGTTAAATTGTAAGTTTTCTAGTCAGCATTTTTAAGAGCAAGGTGGTGTTCCAGTTAAGAACCATGATGACATTCAGAACAGACTTTTGAAACATGGAAACTAGTTATTGATCAGGTCAAAAATATAACCACAGAAAGCAATCATTAAGGGTCTTGGACAAATTATTAAGGATAAAATTGACAAAAGAACAGAAAAGGAGATGTTTCTTTTTGCCAACACTACCCTCTAGTGGAGTAATGGCTAACAGAAAGGGGCTTGTTTTTGGAGAGTGAACTTTATCCTTAATTTGAGGCATAAAAGAACATTTGTACAGAAGCAAGTCATGTGTATGCTTTTCTTCAGATATCCCGGGAGCATAAATATACCCAACGAATGATTATGCCAATGGCATTACATTTCAATAAATGTTATCATTTGAAATAATGCATGGTGCAAGAACTATGGGCAACTGGCTGTACATTTTAGCCACAATAAAATATTGTAATCTCAAAATGTATGCAGTGTACCATAAAAAGTAATGCTATAATAATTATATTGATTTATTCTTCATCCTGTCAATAGCAAGCAACATAAAATTAGGAACATTAATGTTTCAGCAGTTTTCGGTTATCTTCAGCCTTCGATTTGCATCAAATCAGTTGGTGAGGCCAGATTATAAAATTACCACCATACCTTCTTTCGCCATGCTGCTGGCGTGAATGGGAGGAGCCCATGCTAGCATGGATGAGGCTCTTTTGTTTATTGCATCGGACTCGGCTCTCTGGTGGTCCTTAGGGATCACGAAGTCTGGGCGTAACAATGGGATAAGCATTCCCATGGTTAAAGATCTGAACAGATCTGAACAGTATAATTCCCTAATGCCATTAGGTTTGTCAAATGTTATAATAAAAAATCAAAATCAACCAACATATACTGACACAAAAGATAGAGCCAGTTTATATATACATGCCAGTCTCTTTATATGCCAGTTCTTAACTAAATGAATTTGTGTATTACCTAACAAAAGATTTATTTTTGACACACAGAACAGTAGAAAATAACATGGTAAATCATTATATTTACATATAATTAATTTAAAATGATACAGATGTGAGTAATTAAATATAAAAGGCTACAGTGTGTAGTAGGTACTTGGGATAAATCAATAAGTAAAATACATGGTTCTTTCCCTCAAGGAATTTACAATGAGAAAGTTACAGGATAAGAAGACTTAAACAGAAGTCTTCCAAATAAACACGTTGGAAATGCTGGGTAGTCAGCTTACCAAGATAAGGGCTTATCCAGGGCAGTTAGGGGAGAAGAAATGATAGTGGGCATGGGAGGGAGTAGTGAGCAAAAGCCTTTAGGTTGTCAGAGAAGTGAGTGATGGACATAATCCCATGGGAGCAGTAAGTGATGGTAGATAAGCAGGCAAAGGCAGATTAGTATGTATTCATCTAAGAGTCACTAGACCCAGGGCTTTCTATTGAGGCTAGAATAGGAATTTTGAAAGAGTCCAAAGATCAAGTTGCAAGAACCAAAGAAAGGGCCCAGCCTTTCCCTAGCATTCTCTAGTTTCCAGAAAAAGGTTACATTTCTAATGATGTCACCACTTCATCAAGTTCTATAACCAACGGGGTGTTAGAAGTCTACTATGTCTGATAAGAAATATTCAATCAGAATTTTATAATGATTATGTTGATGCTGTCATTTTGGAGTGAAAAAACAATTACAAATTTTACTTAGCCATTGTCCATACCATCTTTAGTGGGAATAAGAAATGAACAACAACAACAAAAAAGGCAAAGGCACATGTTAGCCATCAATATACGTGCTGTATGCTACTGAGTGGATCTCTTGTGTGTGTGGACGAAAGGGGCCACATGCCGACCTGACAAGCTCAGGGGAGGCCTGCATGACACGTTTGCAAACTCGGAGACCTAAAGTAACCACAAAGGATGGTCTGAAATGAAACTTGAACTAAAGCAGTGATGGTGGGCAGTTACCTCCTAGGTTAACCTTTACCTTAACTGAGCCTATCTGTCTTTTGCATCTATGATAACACACCCTTGAAATGTCTGGGTAACTTGTAACTTTCCTTTTTCTGGAACCCTGGGGCACAACCTATGTGGTGGGTGCCTGGACAGATGATACAAATTTCTTCATTATCATGTTAATTGTTCTTGTGCCCACCTAAGTATATGTCCATCATTTTACTTTTTATCCAATCCCAGGAGTTTCCCACCTCTTTGCTTTATCTAACCTCCTTAATCTCTCACCAATGAATTTCATGTAACCCACCTAAGTCCCTTCTTTGATTTTAATCAATAAATACAAATGTAAACCACCATTCTCTGGAGCATTATCTCAATTTGTTGAGGTCTGCTTCCTGGCATAACTCAATAGTTTGGCTCAAAGAAACTAACAAAAATTCTAAAAAAAAAAAAAAAAAATTACCACCGTGCATTCAGTTATTAATAGAAGACAAATCTAGTGGATACTTTCCCAGCAAATTTAGGCCACTGTATTCAACACTGTTGGCAGCTGTGTGGACATAATTAGAAAAATATTGTATCTTCTTTTTATTTTCTGAAGAATCAAGTTATCCAAAAAGTGCCTTGTCACATTAAGGTTCCTGATGCCCCCTGTGAGAGGAGAAGGAACTTTGTAAGAGCATATTGAGTTTATATGACTTTGGGTGCAGAACCATTACAACATGTGAATACTATATGTCAAACAGAGAAAACAATTTTCCTTCCAGTTTTACAAGTAGTTCAAGACCTCCTGTTTCTTATTGGAGTCTGCAGGTTTCTTTATATTCACAACTTAGAAGTCAACTCTATGGTGAACATAAAACAAGCTCTACTTGATTGTAATAGATAATTATTTTGACCTCTTTGAGAAGAGGTGTTTATAATCAGTTAATTAGGGTTCTCGCCATTGACATTGTACATGAAAACTGTTGTCACAGAGAAAATATCAAAGTCTATGTAGAATAATTTTCTTCTTGTGTTTCTAATAACAAGTGAGAAAAAAAGATGACCTGGAGAGCAAGGTAATTAACAGATGTAGCTTCAGACTCAAATATGTTTGACCCAAATTACCCAAAAAGAATGCGCGGCAATGATTATTTTAAAATAAATAAGTTTATGAAATTTAAATCAGCCAATTTAATAAGCATTGCTTTTGAGAAAAATAATAAAATGCAATTCCCCCTAAAAGATAAAAGGCTTGAGAAAAAAATGGTCTTACTCTCAGGGGACCAGATTGACCAAGTTAGCTCTGTCAACTAAGTCAAGTCACTAACCTATCTGGTAGGATCAGTATCTTTACCCGTCAAATGACAGTAAAGTGACATGAAGACAGAGGCACCTTTTGCTTGAGTCACCACAGTATCCACAGTGCTTAGTACTCGGGCATAAAAATGGTAGGAACTTGATAAATCATTGTTTAATGGCTGACACTGCATAGTTACTTATATCACTGAATTATGAAAGTAAAAATGATAAATATCAAATACTTAATGATCATTGTTTTTTATGTATAAGAACATCTAGTCTTCTTTGTCCTTATCGTGGTGAGCTATAGGGAAAACATTCTTTAATCATTTTCCAGTTGTACATATTTAAGGTGGCATCAAAGGAAGTCTCATTCTTTGCATTTGAAATGTTCTAGTCATGCCATTATGCCAAGTATATAAAGAATTTGAAGTTGGAACAGAAACATTGGAGTGCTTTTGAAAATAGTAACTACAAAGCAAAACATAAAAACACCATCTTCTTTGCTTGCTCATTGGATGGCACTTTTTATATAATGTGTTTTTTCATTATTTCCAAAGTTCAATAACACATCATTTCAATACGAGTATCTTTAGAGAGCATTTCAAACATTACTCCGGTCTCTAAAAGGTGTATTTGGGTTGCAGGTGGGGGTGGGGGTGATGGAATGTTTACTCCAGCGGAATGGCCTTCGTGATATACTATATATGATATACTATATATCATAATGTATAGGCACACTGGAAGTCTCCTCTGGGGCACCATTCTGAAGTGGGAGTAATGGAATTGAGAGGACTGAGACTGACAGTGGCAAATGAGTTGTATGGTATGAAGAGATGGAGCTGGTCAAGTAACTGGGGTACCTAACCTAGTTTCAATCCAAGCACTAACCTCTTAATTGTGTTTCCCAGGATATGAATGACTACCCTCCAGTGTTTAGTAAACGCATGTACAAAGGGATCGTGGCTCCAGATGCTGCCAAGGGTACACCGATCACGAGTGTTTATGCTGAAGATGCAGACCCTCCTGTAAGTAAGAGATGTTGACCCATATTCTGTAGTGAGGAAACCTTTAACACTCGGAGTGAATGACCCAGTTCCCCAGGCAGCATGTGTTTATGTGTTTTGTCCTGTTCACTCACCCATTTGATGTGCTCTCGCCTGTTCCATCCATGGGCACAAACTATATATGAAACAATTATTGTTAAAGTTAGACAATTAGGGATATGCTTTCTGTTTCACTAGAATTCAAAATTTACTATTTACCAATGTATCTAGTACTAATGATAAATATATATGGGTAGAGATATAATTGTCTACATAAGCAGCCAGTATAATTTGGACTCTTTATTGAGAAAAGTATAAGTTTAAGTTTAATGAAGATAGATTTTATCCTTATATGTTTTCCATTTTATTCATGCATAATTATTTTACCAACTCTAAATCAACATATGATTTAATACTCATTGAATATGTAAATTTTGACCAAATGATGAAGATGAATTTGTTTGTTTGTTTATTTTACTGACGTGAACTCACATTCTTAAGTCAGTGGCTGATATATTATAAAAATATTAAAGGTGTTGAATAACACATTTTAGAAAAGTGAAAAAAATATATAGAAAAGCTGAATTTTATAAGAGATTTTAAAGTTCTGTTTCATAGTCCTAATATAAATAGTACTTATGTAATGCTATTTATCTAATAAAGGTGACTAGCAGTCATTTCAGTTTTTAGCTTCAATTGTGACATCATAAAAGTTCTTGAAAATAGTAATGTTAGGTGAAAGCAGTAAACTTGCACTCAGAAGCTTCTTTCTTTGGGTATGCTATGATGTCTGAAACATTTATTATATCTCGGGAATATGCTATGCAAAATGGCGTAGTCTTTTTTTAATTGAATTTATTGAGGTGTCATTGTTTAATAATATCATATAGGTCTCAGGTATGCAGTTCTACAACACATCATCTACATATTGTATTGTGTGTTCACCACCCCAAGTCAAATCTCTTTCCATCACCACTAATCCCCCCTTGACTTTCTTCTATCTTCACCCTCCCACCCCTCCCCCCCTTTCTCTCTGGCCATTACCTTGCTGTTGCCTGTGTCTATGAGTCTTTCATTTTTCTTTTTTGTTTAATCCTTTCACTTTCACATCCAGCCCCCAGCCCCCTTCCCTTTGACAGTTGTCAATCTGCCCCCCATATCCATGAGTCTGTCTTCACTTTGTTAGTTTATGTTGTTCATTGGATTCCACATATAAATGAAGTCATAGTCAAACACACTCATAGAGATGGTAAATGTGAAGTAGGTGGTTTGTCTGCATTTTAAGTAAACTTCTCAGAGATACGAGATAGTTTCAAATGAGGAATATCCATTCAGTTCTATTCAAGAAATGCTTTGGACACCAATTCTGTAATGGTCATTGTGCAAACCAGTGTTTGCTCTCCAGAAACTGATTCCAAACTGACAGAGATAAAGAAACTGCATATAGAAACTGTAACACAGAGACTAGAAAATATAATGAAATACAGCATCTTAGCAGATTCAGATTTCAGAGAAATTTTCACTAGTGCAGAATTTAAGATAATATTGAGGTTAGTGACATAAATGATGAAAGACTAAAGTAAGCCTGCTAGTCACCTATGTGGGGCAGACCTCAAAGATGGCAAAATCCTCACTTTGCCTTTGTCACCTGTGACCTTGTTACCTGGTTTGACATTCAAGTCACTGTACTGATGTGAGAGAAATTGTCTTAGTCTAGTGGTTGGCAAACTTTGGCTCACAAGCCACATGCAGCTCTTTGGTCCCTTGAATTTTTAGCAAAGGCCAGCTTAGGAGTACCCTAATTAAGTTAATAACAATGTACCTACCGATATAGTTTAAGTTTAAAAAATTTGGCTCTCAAAAGAAATTTTAATTGTTGTACTGCTGATATTTAGCTCTGTTGACTAAATGAGTTTGCCGACCACTGTCTTAGTCCATTGTACATTTTATAAAGCTATAGTACTTATTTAGAGAGAAAACCCTGTTTTTATACCCTGCCTCTCTCATGGAAACTTAGCAGGCTCAAATTCTGTATTTCTTTGAAAGTTCTTAGGTTGGCATTCCCAGTAGTTTTTAACATTTGATAATATTCCTGGCTTTTTAGTAGATGAAAGGTAGATGCAAGTCTTTCAGTTGGAATGCTGAGCACAACTTATTTCAGTTAGTGAGCATGTCTGATATCAGACTCAGTTTTAATCCTTGAAACACTAGCAATCTTTTGGTATAACCAATATTCAGCCTGAGTTCTCCAATTATTGCTTCAAATTGGGCCCCTTAAATAAACATAGTTCCAATTTAGCTGCACCTACACCAATTAGAAATAAAAGCTCAATTCCATGAAAATTTTCAGGAAAAAAATATTATGTTACACAATCTTCAAAAATATGATGATCACATTTTACTTCTGTTATTTTATGTTGGTATCTTAAATACAGACTAAATATTTGGTGGATGAACTTCAGTGTTTTCTACTCTGTTCCTATTATAAACATAGTATATTAATTGCAAGATAGTTTCAATTTCATACCCTTCCCATCTCCTCTGTTAGTCTACAAGTTGGGGCTATAAATATATGGGGACACTATCTTATCTAATAAAGAGGGAATATGCAAATTGACCATCACACCATAACAAGATGGCTGAACCCACAGCGGAGGCCGAGTTCCTGTAACGAGCTTTAATGAGCAATCAGCATGGATCTGAAGCTGAGTAGTGCTAGGCTGGTCGAGGGGCCTCCCTCAGGCTTGCCCCCAGCCCTGGAACCAGTCTGGGGGACCTCAGGCTGCACCCCTGACCCAGCAGAGCTTGATGGGGTATCTCAAGGCATGCACCCCAGCCTGGGATAGGGGAATGTCAGGCTGTGCCCCCGCCCCAGCACCAGGCCAGACGACCTGAGGCTGTCCCCACCCACCCAGTGAGGCTTGACAGGAGTAGGGCCAGCTGGGTCTGGATCTAGCCCAAGGGAGGTGGGGTCAGTCAAATCTGGGTCTTGAATGATTTTGAGGGTCATGTGGGATCTTAACTCTGGTTCCCATGGTGCACCCCAGACTCTGACAAGAGGAAGTTTTTCATATACATTTTACCTATTTTCTTTCATCTCTGACATTTCTATTATAGAGAAGGGCAAATAGCAATATTAAAATATTTGCTCCAATTAATTCCCTTTTAATGTGCACAAATTTTGTGCACTGGTCACTAGTGTTTACACAAAGGTCTCCTTTCCAAACTAGAAAGTAATGACCTGTAGAATGGGAATCATAACTTATTCGAGTTTATATTCCCACATCTAACTCTATGCTTGGTATTTAATGGCCTGTTAGAAAAATTGGTTGAATAATTTAAATAAACAAATAAATTAATGTTTATATCTATGCTGTTCAGAATTGACCAATTGACAGTTCTTTAGAAATTTAGTTATTTGTGACCCTGAGAAAATGGCGAAGTCTGTAAGCCTCAGTATGGCCACAGAGGGCTGTGAGAATTAAGGGAGGGGATGCATAGGCCTAGCACAGTTTCTGCCCCTTTTGCAGCAGGTGTTGTTAGAATTCAGCAAAGATAATTTCATTTCTAGAGGTTGGCTACATTTTTTTCAAGGCATCTTGTTTCTTTTGAATGACGTGAGAACCATCCATTTTAAACGAGAAAATAGCAACAGCAAAATCTTCTGAAGTATCAGATGGAGAAACTGGGTAAGGTCTTAGAGTCAGAGAGAGCATTGTTGCTGAATATAAATTAAAAATTATAAAATGCATGTTGTGCAAAACTGAAGTGCTCTAGAGGAAGGGGAAAAAATCTTCAAGGGAGTTTTTTTTTTTTTTTTTTTTTCTTCCCATTGAATTAAAGCTGTTAGGACTTTGATTTTCTGCCTTGATTTTGTGACAGCATTGATGTGAATAGTGGATGACTAATCATTTTGGATATTTAAAATTGCTAACTTTTCCTTTCTGCTCACCAGAGAAGTCTCACTCCAAATGTTCACAAAACATAAAACTGCAAGTGCAATTTCCATTTGCATGTACTTATTCTTTCTGAAGCTACCTTTCACACCCCAGGGTACAAAAGTTCTCTTTGTGGGCCAGGGAATGCTCAACACAGTCATGTCCTTTGTGAGCATGTGGGAAGGAAAAATTGGGATAAATGAATGAAATTTACATTTTGTTCATCTCCGAGAAAATCTGAGGCAACTACAAGTATTACCTTTTCATTTTCATAACATTATTTTTCCTTTGCGCATTTTAGGAATTCATAAGATTCTTGTTTAAAGTAAAGCAGTAATTGAAACATGTTTAATATTAGCAATTTAGACAAACTCTCACGTTTGCCTGTATTGGTGTAGGAATTATTTAGACATTGAAGACTCCTTTTTCATTTTCTGTATTGATTTATGAATTAAATACATTTCATGAAAAAGATCTTGTATGTTCTCTCTCAATTGTAATTGGCTGAAAAATCAATAAGTATTCTCACTATACTCCCCCCCCCCCTTAGGATTTCTCTAAAAGGAAAATAATTGCAGTATGAGGCGTTCTCCCCCCTTTTGGAGATTCTGAGAGCTATACTAGTCCTCAGGGTTCAGACAAGCTACCAGAGGAATTATTGTTAAAGTATTTTCTTAGGTGGCTTTTAACACTCTCCTCACTCACTCAAGGGCACTTTTGTTGATCTCTAGAGAGTGAAAAACATGGTCAGGTTTTTCTTTTATGATTCATACCTTGTGTTTTATTAAAATGTCATGTCATCACCAAATAATGGCAGATAATTATGGTGCTCAAAATGCTTAACCTTTAAATAGTTATTCTGATTCAATCCATTGCTAGGTGGCATAACAGTAAAATGAAAGCAACGACAAAAAGTCTTTATCCATGATTTACTGCTTGCTTTTTGTGCAATAGTTAAAATTATACAGATCCAGGAGTGTTATAAGATTTTTATCTCCAGATAACATAAGCGGTCCTTTATCATTTCTGAATGACATCTCCACA